AAAGCATAACCTGTCTTTGACTCTAATTATTGAAATCGCAGTGGAGAAATTCACACTTCATGAAAAGGAATAGACACGTTTTCAGAAAGACTATAGAGAATCAATAAACAGTTCCAGGGTGGAGATAATGACATTCAAGCTTTTTCATCACTATTATTACTGAGGCAAAATTAAATAAAATGGATAAAGCTCTCTAGGTTTATTGCTATCATTGTAAAAGTCTCAGAGGCAGATCAGGCACTCCAGATACCGATATGAGTGTAGCACCCCCCCTGACCCCCAGAACCCAGTTATGGACCCCCAGGGGCAGGACGGGATAGCATTTCACTTCAGGGTCTAATACTAGGCAATAGTGGAGCAATGTAAACAGATGGGCACCAGTCACTTTCAACGAAAACAAGGAGTTTAGTGACTCTCACTCAACAACTGTTGCGATATGATGATGGAGTCATGAAAAAAACATGTTTCTCCACCCTACTGGAGGGTGTTAGTGCCGAGGATCTCTCACATATTTTGTGGTCTATTGGCTGACAGGCCATGCTGTGATCTTTAGTGCCATACCATTTTAAAGGATCTTTGTTTGCCCATAGATACCCATGGAAAAAATTATTGTTGACACCTTAATCAACAGCACTAAGTCAGCAGCCTAGTGGTTGTACTAAAAGATTAATATTAGCTAGGATTATCTCAGAAACCACATTGTGCCACCAGATGGGGATTACCATCGTTAGAATAAAGGATTTTATGTTACACTTCATCCATGGCAAATAATTACACAATTAGATGTTTCTTTCCAGGATCTGCATAATTGGCAATTACCTAGAATGATGGTACTGGTGAAAGGATGGGATGAGAGAAGTATAAGCAGTTATTGTACAGGGGTAGTAAGTTAATGGTTTTGTCCGTTTTTTTTATAGCTAATATTAGGCCCCCATTCACACTTGTGCAGGTCTGACAGTGCGCATGTTTTTGTACGGCACATATAGGGCAGCCTATTCATTTCAATAGACTGCCCTACATTGCCCCTATAACAATCGTTCCTGCACCTTGTTTTTCAAAAATGCGCTGTTCTTTGTTACTATGCTCAATTTCACACACATCTAGAAAAATTATGTCCAAGACAACCTTCTCCTCCTCCTTTAAACTAGCTTTCCATTGGCTGAAACAAAAATACTCAAGCCTGAAAAACAGGCGCAAAACACAGACAAAATAAATGCTTCTAAATCTATGACTTGTATGAGTGTAACAGGGACAGGAAATGAGGGAAGATCTCCCTGAGAGTCACTGATAGGGATAAAAAGCCAAAATGAAATGTAAATTTGCCACCTTATCTAGATCATGGCTGTAGAGAGAAAGCCCCCTCCCTTTTATTGATGGTCAGTTGCTGTAATAATTATCTCCCCCCTTGGGTTAGTGGTCATTTTTAGTAACAATCAACCCCACCTTTCATTGGTGATCAGTGTTAGTGATAATTCCCCACCCCTTCACTGATGGTCAGTGGTAGTGATAATCCCCCCCATTCTTTAGTGGCCATTAGCAGTATCAATTAACCCCCCCTTTCATTGTTGGTCAGTAGTAGTGATAATTCCCCTCATTCATTGGTACCTGGTCATATGCTCCTGCAACACTGCTTCTCTCCTCAGAATGTTGGACTAGGACTTTAATTCTACTGTCGAGTGGAGATCACTGCCTGGCAATCATGCAGTTCTTTTAGTACCGAGTGTTACTCTGTGAATACTGTAGAAAAGGCACACAAAAAATAAACAATTGTAAAGAACAAAGAGCGTGAATAGAAAGCTTTGCACATCTACATAAATCTCCACAGCATTTATGATCATGTTTATTTGACTTTTTCATTTTATTGTCAACCACCATGTTGGTGCAATGATTGCAGAACATAATTTATAGCCTGCTCTCCTCTTGTTTACCAGAGCAGTGAAATGAACATACTAATACGGTTTTAAACAGTAACTTGACCCACCAATTGTTTATGAAGCTTGGATCTCTAGGGAATTACTAATCCTTTATGAAGCTTCGATTATAAATCATAAAGGGAATACTTTGCTTGTGTCATTTTAAGGTTTCCACTTTTGGAAGATACATCACTAGCCTTTGTTGTTTGTAATCTTTTGCCAGATTTTGCCCAACATTTCCAACCTCATCCTTTTGGATTGTATTTTCTGACTTTGGGGTACTTGCTAGAGCCTGAGAAAGAAGACTTGACCTGTGACACTGATTTCATCTGATGAAATGTAGCAACTGCACCCATGTTTTTCTTTCCACCTTGAAGACAATACTAGTAGATGGAGCAATGCTTGGTTTGATGGACTGACTATTGAATCTTGACATAATCTTTTTTCCCCTGCAAGACACAATTCTCATGATGGAGTGTCCTTATTTCCTCCTGGTTTGACTCAAGTGATACCTAAAAAGGTTGTATCTACAACGTTATACTAAGGAGATCCAAAAAGACAAGAGCTTGCCTCACACTTGCAACCATCAATTAGTTGCCTCTGAAGGATTTTAGGTGAAAACCTTTTATCTGTTGCTTCCAATTTAGTCAAACTTTGATACCTCTGTTTCTTAGGAATTTTGTGCCAGTTTGAAGGCTATCCCAAAACTGCAACATCAATTGCATTGGACGGTTGGAATGCACAAATATTATTTGGACCTTCTACTGATGAATCTTCATAACTGCACCTTCACATGACTAAATATATGATCACTGAAGTTCGACATCCGAAGTACAAAGGCAAACTATTATTGTAGATTCAACCACCGACTGATAAACCTCTTGAAGAGATTTTATAGATATAATATTGTCTGAACTATCTGGAGGAACATTATCAATGAGGATTATATAGTACAAGCTTCCAGTAACAATGCAGTTGATATCTGTATTGGTTTCACAGCTCTTCCTTTTTAAGGTAAACTTGAATTCACTGGTCATAATGTAACCTATAGAAGAAACACCAGCTGATAACTCTTCTGTCATAAATAATGCTACATCACAGAGCATCCAAATATTTTAAAGGCTTTTTTTGCATGCTGTTATTGAGTAGTAGTACCCAGATAGCAAGCAATTGAGCTGCAAGTTTGAAAATGACTTGCTAAACTATTGCAGACTTGCCAAGCTGCACAATTACAGCACGTCTGCCTTGAAAGTCTCCAGATCAACGTGCTTTGCAAAAGTGCTGTACACTTGCAGAGCTCTCGCTAAGACCTGCAGGACTCTTGCTGTAGACTTATCAAATTTGCTACAAATTCAAAAAGTGTCAACTAGAACTTGTGCTGCAAGTGTTCTGCAAGTCTACAACTTGCCAGGAATATGTGCAGCAAGTTAGAAAGAATTACAATTTAACCCCGCCACAAGTTTGTAGCAAATTATTCTTGCTATCTGGGTAGTAGTAGTTGTAGTCGTTTTAACAAACACGGTGGACAACCAGCCAAAACTACTGCTGCAAAAATGTAGCATTATATCACTTGTGTTAAAGCAGATCCATAGCTAAACATATTATTTGGCGATTTCTGTATTTCTCAAGTAACAATGTGTAAATCACAGTGAAAAAATTATTTCCTGCTCTTTTAATTAACAATTTAGGGTTTCTTCTAGTGCCTAGGCATTGGTCACATAATCTCTCCTTGAAGAGGCTTGAGAAACGGCATTTTAGACGAATCAGCGAATAAGCAACTCAGCATGAAAAGAGATTCAGCATAGGTTAAGGGATAATGGGACTAATGTGTGTAGGCCAGCCTTTCTCAACCAGGGTGCTATGGCACTCCGGGGTGCCTCAAAATGTTTGCACAGTGTTATGCCTTTCCATGGTGCAGGCAGGCTTCTGATGTGAAGGGAGCTCTTCATATGATGGAGGAACTCTTATGTAAGGGTGGATTACGATGTGAAAGGGGGGCTCTTCATGGCAAAGGGGGGTTCCTGATGTTAAAGGGGCTCTTGAGGTGAAAGGGTGCTTGAAATGTGAATAGGGGGCTCTGATGTGAAAGGAGGAGGCTACTTATGTGAAGGCGGGGTCATTTTTACATTTTTAAATCTAGTTTTATTACATATTAGACTGGATTCCTCAAGGTTTTGCAGACTTTGAAAGGGTGTCATGGCTGAAAAAGGTTGAGAAGCGCTGGTCTAGGCATTAAGTGGGATGTCATTAAGTTTTACATGTTGAACATATTGAGCACAGGCTTAAAGAAAACATGTACTTGGAGAAAAACCTGGGCTGACATTTACCTCCCTGTGAAAATGCTGTTTGCTTGTCTAGAACATGCATGCAACTGATGATGTAATGACTAAAGTCAGAATTGTAATTGGATTTAGGGCTTGCCAGTGACCAAAAATCAACATGACAACCAAAAAACTAGCATTTTCACATGGAGAGGTCAGCAATGGCAGCCTGCATATTTCTCTAAGTAGTTTAAATCAGCTAAATACATTCCAGGTGCATAAAAACAAAAGGTGTTCAAAGTCACTTCTTTAGAAAGCAGCCACAGCCTGAGTAGAAAAACCTGTTCAATGCCAGCACACTGCCGAGAAGGACTTTCACTCTTTGTAAGCAAGCAGTAGTCTCACTGCAGACGATGGGCACGCCGCCTCCTAAGCCAGAGCTCTTCAATCAGCAAGGAGATTGGTAATTGCAGATTGTAGAGCTGGAAGTCTGACTCAGTAGGAGGCATGTTGGACCTCTGCAGAGAGACCACTGCTTTCACACAGAGACGCTGGCAGAGCAGTGGTGTCACAAGAGGGGTGGGGGGGTCCGGCCCGCACCCGGGTGCCACCATTGGAGGGGTGACACCAAAATGACTGATGGTCATTTTGGTGTCACCCCCTATGAAAAGTCGGGCACTCGGTCACGGACCGAGAGCCCGACAGTTCAGGTGAGAGGAGGGGACCCGGTGGCCTACCTTATTCCGCCGGGTGAATGCCCCCTCTTCTCTCTGCCGGCGTCCATCACCAAGATGGCCGCTGGCAGGCGTCAATAAGATGATCGTGCATGTGCGATGGCGTCATGTCTCCGCCCCCGGGGGACACCCAGCCTCAGAACGCCCCTGTGGCAGAGGAAAGACTATTCTACTCTGTAGCTGCTTTCTAAAACAAAAACTGTAGACTTTGCACAGCTTTTGTTTAGATGCACCTGGAATATGTTTAAACTGAAAATTAAATTGGGCTTTGTATTTTTTTTTTTTGCTGGGAAGCACAAAATAAAGGGAACAAATGTCTTCTTCATTTTAGACAGGGTACTGTGGATACTTTAGAACTTATATATTGTGTTTTTACTTTTCATTTCAGATGGTTTCAGCTTGGCATGATTTGGATAACACAGAGTTTGATTGCTGGCCTAATGATAATCCTAATGAGCAGAATATGGTTGACTGTATGGGTGTGTATTATAAAATACAAAAAGGAAAAGTCATACTCCATCTCATTGTACACATTTCATTGGGTCCCCTTCTTATTTGCTGCATGCGTAAACGTAAACTGAGTGTCAGCATAGCGCAGCCCATTCATTTCAATGGGCTGCTCTACAAGCAACAAATACAGCAAAAAAGCTCATAGAGCACAGGACTGTATAGAGAGGGGGATTTATTAAAACTGGAGCAGACAAAATCTGGAGCAGCTGCCCATGGCAACCGTGACAATTATGACCATATATTGGCTCATGATGGTGGCCCAGGTTCCTATAGCAACAAGAAAAGTTCCCATTAGCACACTTTTGCTACATAAGCCCCACAATACATATTTCCTCAGGAATATACTTTTCTTATATATGTAGACACATAAAGGGGAACTTATTAATGCTGGATCAGACAGAATCTAGAGAAGTTGCAAATGGCATCCAATAAGCTTCTACCTTTCATTTCCAGATCTTAAATGACCAAACTGAAGAGAGAAGCTGATTGGCTCTACTATGGGCAACTGCTCCAGATTTTGTCTGCTCCAGTTTTGATAAATTCCCCGCATTGGCTGTATTACGTTGTGTCACTTGGTGTATATTCTGGTCTCTGTATTCTTGTATTAGGTCTGGAAATGGCCTGGATCGAGCGCCCTCCTGAGAGAGTTATTACCGGAAATGAGTTTAATGTCAGCTATAGCGTGTCCGTTCCCGACAGTTTCTATCAAAAAGCTGTCAATCTAAATATTCTTAAATTCAGGTAAGTTATTTTGAATGCTTTATTAGGCCAACTACTACAATAGTATACCAGTTCTCATATATTGTGACTCTTTTTCTAGTAATGCCAGTGCAGCAAAACAGTTCTGTGAAGAACATCAGTGTCCCTCAGACTGGAAATATGCTACGGCGGAAAATTGCTGCATCTACCATGCAAACATCCACTCCTGCCCTATGGCATATATGGTCAGTACTGCCAGATATGTTTGTGTAATTAGCATATATTGGTAGTGCTCTGTGCTCCTTCTCAAGACCTGTAGAAAATGAGAATCACCAGCACTCAAGTAATAGCGTTATATTCTTGTGCTTTTAGTGAAGCAGATCATCATCACCATAAGGTCAACGTTTCGAGGGCCAAGTAGGGTGCCTTCATCAGGACAGCATAGTGATCTGATGAAGGGACCCTGCGTGGCCCCCGAAATGTTGACTTTATGGTGTATGTGATGATCTGCTTCAATAAATGAGCACAAGAATATAATGCTATTACTTAAATGCTGGTGATCCTCATTTTCTACAAGTTTGATGAATGCGGCGCCATCCGTGATCATCACTACGAGCACCACGGCTATCGAGCCAAGTTAAAAAGGTCAGAGCGTTGTAAGGAGTGCAGGAGACACATCTGAATACTACATGATCTCATGACCTAAAATAAAGAATCCCATCGCTGGCACCATTGTTGTTTTTGGATTTCACAACTCTTAAGTTTGAATTAAAGGGCTTGAATTTAGGCTGATTACTGCCTAATTGAGTGAAATTTGAGCCTTGACTGGCCCAGTCAGCACCTTCTGGTTGACCAAAGGCGGTGCTTTGCTCCGTTTCAACGAATCACGCTGTTTACAATATTACTTTCTTTTAAAAACTTTACTGAAGTGTCACAAAATGAAAATTTTGGGGGGATAGAGGGATGAAGAGTCAGTTTTTAATTGCAATCTGTGTCACCACTGGGGGAGCTTCACCCTCTCTTGTTGACTGAAAGTGAGGGAAAATTCAAAATTGTGATGGGAAATGAACACAAAATCTCCCCAATGTGATACAGACAGCAAAACAATCCTGATGGGGTTTTACCATTCTTTATCCCAAACTAGTAAAAAATGTTCTGGCTCTAGATATATTTTACTCGGTCTTTTCCAGTATATAGTGAACATATAAAGTGGTCACTAAGTGTACCCCTGTACATGTTCGTTATCCAGTTAGGGAGCTAGTTGCAGGCTGATCCTGCCCCACATTTCTGCTGGGTCTCCTGTGCAATATACAGTATATACTACTGGTCCACTCTATGGCTAGCCTCATACACACAATATATCAGAAATAAGAGACACAGTAGAGGCTGCAATCCAAGATTGGATCAAGGGGTAGGCAGGAGGGTCTTTTAGCGTTGGGTGATGAAGGACCTTCTCCCGGTGTTATTATTCTCCACGTTATTAATCTGAGTTGCCCCACTCAATATGGCCGCAAGTGACGGACATATTGAGGGGGTCAACTCAGATTAATAACGTGCTGAATTAGTCTGACCCTAGTTCATTTTAATACTTTATTGCTGTGTATAGGGAAATGCCGCGGGTGGCGCACGTGCAGTAGAGCCTTCTCGGCAAAACCTCTTACTTCTAACTAAACCGGAAGTCAGATGGTTGGAGATCTCAAAGACTTGGAGGTTTCGATAGAACACCGGCATTGCTGCAGTCCATAACTTGTTCACCTACAATAAACTTTATTAAGCTAAGAGACCATGAACAGCTCACCTGAGCGTCTTCCTCTTGAGTGAAAGCTGGCCATATGCTGTTATATTTTTTTCCTTCAGCCTGTGGGTTGAATGAAAAAATCCATACTAAACAGCGTAGATGGACAAATCTCCTTGGTATTCTGACAGTGACGGGCGTGCCCCTGTCAAAATACTCAAACAATGACGGCAGCTGATTGGCTGCTGTCACTTTTCACATGAAGATTTTTAATGCAGCTCCTTTGATTTACTGATCGAAGGATACTGGACGGAAGGGTGGGGTCAGGGCCACCCATTGTGGGAATTTCAGCCGGTTCTTCAAGTGTATGGCCAGGTTTACTAGCTGCTTACTTGCATAAGTGGTGAGCACACATGAACTGTAATGGAATTAGCAGCAACCCTTACCAGTTCACGGAGCAGATTGCTTCACCTGGTGGAAATTTGCAATCTAGTGCAGACAATAAATCAGCCTGATTTGATACAAATTCTGATTCAAGGGAGCCCAACATGTTAGCAAAGGTTCTTATCATTCCCCAATCTTTACAAGATAAGGGTTTGGCTGGGCTCCCACTTTAAACATAGTGTAGTAACAAGCTGTATGTCAGCAAACTAGATAAGTATAAGGATATAGATTTACTTATGAACCTTCTTAATGTATCACTGTATTGCAGTCAGGATGCATATACAGTAATATATTTGGCTCCATTTCCTTTTATCAGCTAAGTGCTGCATTGAGAGTTAAAAAGCCCTGTGCTGCCAGCATATTGGAATGTCAGACCCCCAACTCTCACACACCCGGCTCTCCTGACGTCGAACATGCCGCACTGAGCCCTGCTGTAATCAATATCACTCTCACTCAATGAGAAATGCTGCTGATCACGCAGTGTACAGGAAGTCTCGGAGAGCTGAGTATGCTTCTTGAGTATGAGACTCTTTTACCTGCTGCCAGCTCAGGGTTTGCTTTTTACTTTTTAACCCTTGATGCAGCAGTGTATAAAAAGAGACATATTGGTTAGTATATATGCCGCCTGATTGCATTACAACAATATATGAAGAGAGTTCAGTTGGGTTTTTCTGGTATATTACATACATGCTTTCAGGATGCCAGTCATGGTCTATAATAATAACCAATATGCAATAAATTCTGCATAGCTTCATTTTTTTACTGAAGAATAGCACACATTGTTAGCTAGTTCATGTGTCATCTGCAGAGTCGTTAGTTGTGTGTTGTGAAGGAGAGAAAGGACAAATAGAGAGATAGAAAGAGAGAGAGCGAAACAGATAGAGAAATTGGAAGAGAGACAAAGAGTGAAAAACAAGAAGAGAAAGAGAAATGGGGAGAGAAAAAGATAGAAATGCACAGATAGAGAGATGGGAAGAGAGAGAAGGAGATAAAGACAGATGTAGAGGTGGGAGGAGAGAAAAAGAGAGATGAGAAGAGACAGAGTAAGAGAGAGATAGAGGGATAGAAGGGAATACAAAGAGAGAGAAAGAGAGATGGGAAGAGAGAGTAAGAGAAAGAGAGAGAGAGATAGGAAGAGAGAGAGAGATGGAAAGAGTGAGTAAGTGAGAGATCGAGAGATGTGAAGAGATGTGAAGAGAGATTAAGAGAGAGATAGAGAGATGGAAAGAGAGAGAGAGATGTGGAGTAAGAAAGAGAGAGAGATGGAGAGAGAGATGGAGAGAGAGAGAGAGAGATGTGAATAGAGAGAGTACAAGAGAGATAGAGAGATGGGGAGAGAGAGAGAGATGTGAAGAGCGAGAGAGAGAGAGAGAAATGTGAAGAGGGAGATAAAGAGATGGGAAGAGAGAGAGAGAGATATGTGAAGAGAGAGAGAGTAAGAGAGAGATGGGGAGAGAGAGATGTGAAGAGCGAGTGAGAGAGAGAGATAGGAAGAGAAAAAGAGAGATGTGAAGAGAGAGTAAGAGCGTAAGAGAGAGATGTGAAGAGAGATTAACAGAGAGATAAAGAAATGGCAAGAGAAAAAGAGAGATGTGAATAGAGAGTAAGAGAGACATAAAGAGATGGGAAAAGAGAGAGAGAGAGATGGGAAGAGAGAGTAAGAAAGAAAGAGAGGTAGGAAGAGAGAGAGAGAGAGAGAGATATGGGAAGAGAGATAGGGAGATGTGAAGAGAGGGATGTGAAATGAGATTAAGAGAGAGATAGAGAGATGTGATGAGAGTAAGAGAGAGAAAGAAAGAAAGAAAGAAAGAAAGAAAGATGGGAAGAGAGAACGTGAGAGATAGTTGGGAATATAAAGAGAGAGATAGACATAAAAAGAAATTGGAAAAGAACGAGAGAGACAGAGAGAGACAGAGAGAGGCAGAGAAAAGGAAAAAAAAAAAGAGTCGGACAGATAAAGATACTTTTATTGTCATTTCAAAACACGTAATACATGAAAGGAAACAGAATAAGATTCCTATGGTAACAAAATAAAAACAAACACACCCTAACACACATTCATGAAAACCTAAAAAAGTATAAAATGAATAATACACATAACACCTAGCAGCAATTTGTTGATCTTAGGCAACAATTACACATCGAAGCAGCAGAAAATGCAATGAGTTTACTATACAAAACTCTCACAATCAGATTGTAGTCGAGCTCTAGAATAAAGTAATAGCAATCAAAGCAATTGCCCAGCACGAAGCAGAATGTATCTGTGTCACAAAATCAGAGAAGGAGCTGTTCCTCGGTCTGGTAGCCCTGGCCTAAGCACTGGGTAACCTGAAGGAGGGGAGCAAACAGTCTGTTAGCAAGAGAAATGGGAAGAGGAAATCGACAGAAGTTGATTGAAACAGAGAGAGGGGTCCTGATGGAGGCCATCATTTCAACCAATTCAGCAGGATTCAGCCTAAAATTAACCAAGTGTGTGGCCAGCTTAAAGTGTATTTCCATTTTTGCAGCCAAATTGGGATACCACCGATTTTATATTTGTCACGTTTCTCATTCACATAGCATAACTATAAATATTTACATTTCTGCTTGCACAACCCATGCTCTATTCTGAAAGAAAAGTTGTTCTCTGTACTGAGTTTTGGTCTGGAATGCAAAAGAGGCTGGGCAGGGTAATGCTAACATAATGAACCCTGTCTCTATTGTGCTGACAGATCTCATTATCAATTGTAAACTAGATTTGAACACTGTCTGCCCTAACAAAGATTTAGAAGCATTATATGTTAATGAGAGGAAGCTCAGTTTGTGCCTAGCCTTTCAATGGGGACAGATAGAGTTTCTTGTCACTTGGCAATAGAGAGAGAAGCTTGCAAAGGCTCCGATTTCACAGCAGACATCCCAACTCTCCCGAACGTTCCAGGAGTCTCCTGCTATTAGATAGCGGCTCCCGTCTGCCCGGGAGATAAACATTTTCTCCCGGAAAGGTTTACTCTGCTATATCTATCAGAGTAAACTTTTCCCTGCTGTCTGGCAGTCAGTCAGAGAAAAAAAAAAAAACCAGCATAGGAATGCATAGATAGATTGCTATTGGCTATTTCACTTTGCAATAGCCAATAGCAGATTAGCTATTGCACCCGCCCATTGCTGCTGTCAATCAGCAGAGGGGGACCTGAAGTTCTCCATCATGTTCTCCTCTATTGATTGACAGCAGCAGAGGGCGTGTGCAATAGCCAGCTTGCTATTGGATATTGCAAATTGAAATAGCCAATAGCAATCTAGCTATGCATTCCTATGCTGTTTTTTTTTGTTTCTGTTAGAATACTAGATGGAAAAAAAAACCAGCAGATAGCACGGGAAGCAATTAATGTGCTATCTGCCCTCATTTCAGGGGGGTGCTCTCTCCCCCCTGCGGATGGGGAGGGGGGGGGGGCAGAGGTCACCTCCCTGAAATGAGAAGGGCACCTCCCTGGAATTGCTTTTTTCAGGTTGGGATCCCTGGCACAGACACATCTAAAAGGTTAGAAATATATTTATTTTTTTGTATGCTGTGTGAAGGGAACACATAACAAACATTTAGAGGGGTTTTCTCAAATTTGACTGTAAATGTGGAAATACACTTTAAGCCTCGTGTGTATTTCTCACCAATTTCAGCCTGACGTGATAAATGCTTGTAGAAAGTGTGCTAGGGGTATGGCTGCCTCACTTGTTTGGGCGATAGGATAGCATGGGAGGCTCTCTAATTGTTTCCTGGGATTCTGAGAAGATCCGTACAGACATGCAGGCCTACGATGCGGAGGCACATGACAGTAGTAAGAAAAGACTGATTTGTTGTGATAATGGTGGGAAGGATTTTCCTGTGTAAGGCAGGGGAATTCCTGATTGTGAAATCTGAACTCGAAGCATTACAGACGAGTCAGAGAGTGAGAGTTAGTGGGCTGTATGTGACAAAATATACAAATCACACCTTCTTGTGTACCTTTGCAGAAACAACAAGGGATCTGCGGCCCGTGGATCCCTGATGACGGTAAAATTGTAACTCACACCATTTCCCAAGCAGGGAAAATGACCCAGCAGAACTGGACAAGTAAGGTACGATCTCAAATTTAAAGCTGAACTCTGACCTTCCCTTCAGTCTTGCACAGTTGTATGGGCTGCTCACAATGAGCATTAGAAGCTGCACCAAGTCAGATAGAGACCTTCTCATTTCCTGGCTGGTGGTCACCCATCATCATCTAGTTCTTTCCCTCCCAGCCTGACTGACCCTGGCCCACCTCTTTTATTGTTTGGATTTCAGTTCTTTCTATCATGCAGGCTCTCAGCATCACATGTGGGGGTTACCTAGGGTGATCTGCATGTAAATACAGCCTGCCTAGGAACACCCACTCCTTCAGACTTACATTGAGTTGAGTACATTTGAGTGATTGTGCCATTGGCAACACATCGCCAGCAGCAGAATTAGCCAGGCAAGGGAACCATTTCCCCTAATGGAATCGCTCCTTTACTGGCCTGGAATGCTGCTGAACCTTACTTGCTAGCAAGGGGGCAGCGGAAGAGTGAAATCTCACTGGTCCATCTAGTGAAGGAGCATCTCCACAGAAAATGGTTAGTGGTCTGTTAATAGTCCTGTTGCTGGCGAGTTGTTATCATCAGTCATTGCAAGCAACCATTATAGTAGTATTAAACTCTCAAACAATTTTTTAATAATGGATCCAGATCAATCAAATATACATTGCCCAGCAAAGTATTTCTTTACATTTTTGCCAAGCACTTACAGTTATTCTGTCTCCAAACAGCTCCAACTCTCTCAGTTCGGTTTCCCTGAACTTCTTGTTCAGTATAAGGTCACAAGGGACAAAACTGTCTCCGGCAGCTGTTCATCTACAAGCTTGTAAAAGGAAGAAGGGAGGAAGGATGAGGGGAAAACAGGAAGCAGGGAGCGGATTGCCTTGCTGTGTCTGTGTGTTTGTGGATAAAAAATACTATCCTTGTTGCACTCCTTACTGAAAAGTCACTTGTAGTGGGGGGTGCTCGCAGTGACTGCGGATGACGCTGCAAATATCAGTAAACACAGGGTCCCTTCATAGGTCAATGCTAAAGCCTGATGAAGGGACCCTGTGTGGTCCCGAAAGCGCTTGTTCATATGACATAAAACTTCAATAAATGAAGCTTTTGCTATCCTTAAAGGACTGGTGTGCTGGTAACATTTCTACAATTTGTGTGTTTGTGGAGACACACACAGCTTACTAGCTCCATGGGACCCTGCGAGGGAAAGGAACCATCCTAAAACAGGATATCAGGGCCTTCGCTACAGGGACCAGCTGGTTCTTCACAAGATTAAAACTTTAAAATATCAAGAAGCAGCCTCCATTGTAAGTGATTACATCAGCATTTGAAATAACGTTAAAACCATTAAATGTTAATATCACTTTACAGTAACCATATAGAACAAGTAAAACAGATGCAAAATATGCCAATATCAATGGCTTGCTTACAATCACTTAGATAAAGAATATTAGTTAATTGTTCTTTGAATATTTGATGAATCTACTAAGAACTTGGCTTGTGTATAGCCAACATTTATTATCCCAGGCTGTACTCTGACACAGCGCAGATGATTGGATTTTCGGATCAGTTTGGACTCTTGGGCAGGGCCGGATTTACTCTCTCTGCTACCCCAAGGCCAAGTTCCTGAATGCGCCACCATTTCACTCAGCAGTACCGAGCAGAATAAATGGAGAATGCCAGACCCGCAGGCTGCATACAAGTGATCTCGGCGACATTTCCAGGATCACTTGTACAAAACAAGCGGTGGCTTCCCTGCTGTACATTTAGCTCTGCTTGCCCAAAGCAAGGCTAAATGTGGAAAACAACTACCCGCCCGGCGCCCGGAACTGCTTGTCCCAGGTGTTGGGACATAGGAATCTAAATCCATGCGCCCCTCTATTCCCTGCTGCCCTGAGGACGGGCCTTGGTTGGCCTTGTGGGAAATCCGGCCCTGCTCTTGGGTTCTCTAAGCCAGCTGTGGGGGGTCTGTAATCATATTGGCTTCTTTTAGTCTTACAGTGTGTTGTTTATGCCATGTACTTTGTTTTTTTAGGTTGTTCTGGTCCACCTTGGCGTGACTTCATTAATCGCTCATATCAAAATTGGCAGCTTTCAGGCAGCGTTAGAATCGGAGTCCACAGTGCTGAGCGGAAACGGTATCATGTCACTTCATTTTCTCTATTGTTGTAACATCTGGTCGTATCTAAACTAGTAACACACCAATACTAGAAGATATTGTTGTATCTGGACAAACCACCCGCTGAAAGGGCACCTGTCACTTATATTTACTGGAGGCAGCCATGTTGGAGGCTGAGCCAAAATTCAACTTCTAAACTACCCAGTACCTCATGCCACAATGATTATATCCTATTCCTAATTAAATCGCTTCCTAAATGTTTACACAGATCCTGATGTGTAACTCTCCCATAGAAGAGCAGGAGGTCTCCACAGTTTCCTTACAAGCAACAGTGGCAGCTTCATTACATTTGTGTAAAGCCTCTACAGATATGAAAGTGCTTAATGAGTGCCATTATAGCTGGATAGCTTAAGAAAAGCTGGGTATAATAAAGGGAAGTGAGAGTGTAACACAAAGTGGTCTCCACCAGTGATCCAGTTTTAGGGCTTGTACTTATGAGCAATATATGGGGGTGCTTGCAACTTCATGCAAAATAAGCACAGTGGTATTACCTAGCCATTTGCAACCAGCTAACTGGAAAATTAAGGAGCAACAACGTGGTGATAAGTCACCAGCTCTGCTCACTTTACTCTCTGTTCCTGTCAGCATGTTACCTGTCAGCACATGTGTACGCAGCAGAGTCTGGTTGGCTTCTAGTGGTGCCCCTCCCTCTCCCAGAGTACTGTTGTGCAGAATACTGTTGTGCTGTGGTAGGAGGCTGATACTGGGACAGATTTGGGTACCTATGCTGTCTCTTATATACCGTGTTTCCCCGAAAATAAGACCTACCCCGAAAGTAAGACCTAGCGCTATCTTCGGGGATTATGCAAGGTGCGGCGTCAATTGATCGTTTTTCCAGCACATCCCACAGATGCACGATTGGATTGTGATCTGGAGAATTTGGAGGCCATGTCAGCACCTGAAACTTGTTGTGTTCCTCAAACGATTCTTGAACCATTTTTGCAGTGTGGCAGGACGCATTACCCTGCTGAAAGAGGCCACTGCCATCAGAGAATACCGTTTCTATAAAGGGGTGTACTTTATTAGCAACAATGTTTAGGTCGGTGGTATATGTCAAAGTAACATTCACATGAATGGCAGGACCCAAGGTTTCCCATCAGAACATTGCCCAAAGCATCACACTGCCTCCGCAGGCTTGCCCCGTAAGTGACGCACATGGCCATCCACATGATGTAAAAGGAAATGTGATTCATCAGACCAGGTGACCTTTTTCCATTGCTCCACAGTCCAGTTATGATGCTCACATGTAGGCACCCCGACCGGTCTGTGGCTATGCAGCCCCATACGCAACCAACTGTGATGCACTGTGTGTTCAGACACCCTTCTATCTGAACCAGCATTAACTGTTTCAGCAATTTGAGCTACAGTAGCTCTTCTATTGAATTGCACTACACAGGCCAGCCTTCCCTCCCCATGTGCATCTGTAAGCCTTGGTCGCCCACGACCCTGTCGCTGGTTCACTGTTTTTCCTTGCTTGGACACTCTTTTAGGTCCTGACCACAGTAGACCGGGAATATGCCATAAAAGCTCTAGTTTTGGAGTTGCTCTGACCCAGTCGTCTAGCCATCCCAAATTGGCCCTTGTCAAAGTCGCTCAAATCCTTACACTTACCCATTTTTTCTGCTTTCAACACATCAACTTCAGGGACAAAACGTTCACGTGCTGTCTAATATATCCCTCCCACTTCCAGGTGCCATTGTAACAAGATAATCAATGTTTTTCACGTCACCTCTCAGTGGTCATAATGTTATGGCTGAATGGTGTATTATATGGTATGAACCAACATTAAGCTATATGGAGCGGATAACTGCACTAGCACCAATCTCCGAGGCTGCTCTAGTTTGTGAAGTCTTGTGCTTATCAGATGCAGTTAAAGTATAATTTTGGTAACCATATCTGTATCATGTCCCTTGCTGTGTGCAGTGTGCGGTGATGATGTCTGCAGTCCAGATGAAATCTGTGCCCTTTGTCCAGCGGACTGCGGCCCCTGCCCGATGCCAACCTCTGTGAAGATCGCTATAGCGCTTCCTCTCACCCTCTTCTGCAGTGGCTTCATCTGTGCTATTGTGGTATAGCAATGTTGTCTTACAATGACCATGAAAGCTTTATTGATTACACGGGGTTGGTTCTTAAAGCCCAGCTGTACCAAAATTGTTTTTTTCATTTTGCATAGAGTAGGGAAGAGTTAGAAGATTTATCAACTTTATATTGTCGTTTGTATCCCCATTTTAGAATTGTATCCTTAGTTGCTGTCTATTTGACAAAACAGGAAGCAATGGTAAATCTCCCCACTTCCTGTCTCCCCATCAGAAGAGGAAGTAGGGAAAATCCTCCCAATGAATACACATTTAGTAGTAGAGTGAGGGAGGTTTGTATGTTGTTTGTGTCTCCATAAGATTGGGAGGGTTCTCCCGCTTCCTGCCCAGGTGATAGGTGTTAGACACAACAGGAAGGGAAGAAAAATCCTCTCTATGGAGGCACAGATCTTAAAGTAAAATCTTAACAAGGTTATCAATACCTTTAAATGCAGTGAATACACAGTTGAGTACTGTCCGTGGTAATGTTTCTATTTGCACAGTACAGTTTAATATAAATTATGGCTGGATGAGTGGACAGAACCAGTTCTCACTGCAAATGGGTTACAGCTTTACCTGAATTCACTACTTATTGTTGAGGAGAGGGGAGTCTAATTCCCCAGAAATGTGTTGGCTGTATCAGACATTCAAATAAACAATCTAAATGAACCTTCAAGCGAGATGACCATTTTTAGACGCTTCTAACCAGACATCCAAGATTTAATCTTCTGTTAATTGATGGGACAACCAGTCATCTGTCTCTGTCAAAGATTCCTTCATTACCTTAAGGCAGAACTGTGTTTGCTAAACACACTCTCAGGAATTCATGAAGAGTATCGCAGAAACTCTTTAGAATTCTGTCAAGCCTCCACATGACAAATATCAGTGCTTGTGACAGATTCATTTACCTGTAAGAAACAGGTAATTTGTTGCATGTAGACTAACACCGCTTCCCACTCAGGGCTTGTTGGTTGGAAGCATAACAGGGGCCATCGTCGTCCTAACAACCAGTGGCGCATCCCGGCTTCATTCTGCTGCTAAACAGGAGATTCCCTAGCCAAAGGCTAAATGTAAACAAAGAGGCGGGGATGTTGGCTGACATTATGGACCAAATATAGTCTTCGGTCAGCCAAATTACTATATTTGGACATCTTTATCCAAATAAGGCCATTGCCATATTTGGGTAATGATGTCAACCAGTATTTTGTTTACAATGCGCTGGCAGCCTGCGAATGCCCTAGCCAGCACCTGCATAGGGCCGTGGAATGCGTCATTGGTTGCTAGACTGCCAGTGTCTTACCAACCACCAAGCCCTGGGTGGATGCTGTCACAATTATGACAGTGGCCCCAGTGGTCAATAAAGAGCAGGGCATGTTTGCATGCCTGTGTCTGTATGCCAAGTTAGAGTTGGTCTTAATGACCTCCAGTTTCTTTATCTACAAACTGGAGATTAATATTTTTTACATTTGTCACAGCCATAGCGACACATTGTAAAAGTGGCGCAAATAAGAACTATCTGAATCTGGCCTAATGCCAGAAAAAATGTCACAAGTGCTTTATTGAATTGCCCCCCAATCATTCTGTTGGCTTTTGACCTGTAGCTGGCCTGAAACAGAAATGTCTGTATACACTAACCCTTATTCATGACACAATTACTCTGGTGGTGGCCACATTAACTGAAAACAGCCAAGGGGCCCATGGTACAACTAATCCACCACTTCAAGTGCCTATTGTATATGATATAATAATATAGAAGTCTACCTGTTCTCCCCACTCACCTATTCCCCAGTTGATGGCACTAAACACTCAACTGATGTGCATTATCATAGGTGGCACAAAGCTAAGGGCAACTAGTAGAGGCCTTTTCCGTTTTGTTCTTTCTCTATCATACATATTCCCACAATATTAAACAAACTCTGTTAATAAATTATGGGATTCATGAATTATTGTTATCTTTCTGTAGTGGTTCCAGTACCAAAAGCAGAAGATGCTATGGGACGAGAGCTGGATCCTCACCGTGAAAGACTCACCTGGTACCTAGTACTGAGTTATCTATTGCTATGAGCGCAGTATGTTACCTTAAGCTCTTTATAACTTTGATGATGTTCCATAGGAGATGCTTTCTGGAACGAGTTGGGCAGCACCATCAGTTTGAAACAGAATAATAACACAAATCTGGGACAAAAGCAGGAGTTACTGGCAAACACGGTATACATGTGTGGCTCGGCTACGGAAAATTTCATCCAGACTGGGATCTAGTGAGTAAATTTAATGATCAAAATATCCAGAAGATCTAAGATATGCAGAACTTGAAAAATCCAATGTTATTTCAAGAAACTACATCACTTTCTTTAAGAAAAAAACTCACATGAAAGAATAATGTAAAATAGGAAGATGGGTATGATCACTCGCCAACTGTCAATGTGGGGATGGGTACAGAAACCATCATGGCTCCCTTTGACTTTTAATGGTCCTAAAGTACAGAAAGTAAGGGGACTATTTATGGTGGAGAAAAGGCTCCGCAATCCTCTCTGCAATGTTTCACCCCCTAGAATGCCTGCATAAAGGTTCATTATGACAGGCGTTTTCCTGCAGTTGACATCCATTTAAAACACACATCAAACATAGGTCACCAAAATCCCATTGACTTTAGTTGAGCAATACTCTTGGCGGTTCAGAGACTGTGTTTGATTTCCTTTACATTGTGCTGTTTCTTTGCAGCCGGTACCATTAGGTGTGTTTTTGTTAAGCCATACCACTTCGTCAGATATGATTTATGAGATCAGTAATTTGTTTTTAGAAGACCTTTTCTACTTCAGAAATAGAGAGATCTGTACAGGTCTGGTACTGAAAAGTGTAGAATTTGGAACATCGTTCTTACTTATATCAACTTCTGCTACTTTGGTACTGAAAAGTGTACCAAAGTAGCAGAAATTCTCAGCCAGTTTCAGGTACTCAACCAGAGTGATGTCACATTCTGTCTCCTGGCACCTCTACAGGGCATGCAAGGGAGCTGTACAAGCAATGCACGTAGATGGTGCTCCATCACAGCACAACAATCCACACTGGACTTTTGGTTCTGGTGTGGGAAGTGCGTTGCATTGCCATTCATTTGAATGTCACCCCAAACTCACCTTCTGCCCACAGTTCGATCACGCGCACCAAAATGTGTGGTACCGCAAAGCTGTGCGTTTCAGTGTGGTGCGATTTAATGACCAAGGACAAATATGGGTCCTGAGGTTACAGAAGTTGAGAACCACTGATTTAGACAAATGTTCCCTTTCTTGCATTGTTAAGCTCATGATTGCCATATACAATATATTGTGTGACAAGGTGTCATTGTCAGCTACCGCTATAACAGACTGCTGTCTCTTATTCCAGTGATGGACGAATAGTATCAGTAAAGAGAATATATAAGAAGAATTTTACCATCACTAAAACAATCAGGAAAGAAGTACAGCATGTCCGGTGAGTTTGAGTGTATATCACGGCAAACCCTCACCCCCCAAAAAAACAAAAAAAGCTATGCAGTATATCTCTGCAATACATGCATATTCCCCCATAGTCTATCCCTTTAAAGGCCCTGCAAGTACAGAAAAATAGCTGTTAATCTGCCAAAAACGCACTGAGCTCCTAAACTCTGTTTTGGGCTGAAATTTTTGTGTACTATGCGGACACAACATTTTTGTGGACTGAGTGGTGTCAGCACTCCCAGTTGACTTTTGCTAAACTATTCTATCATTCCCACACTCAGATCTCCACCATACATACAAGATAATCATTCTGTAGTCCAAGATAAGAACTTGGAGGGCTGTTTGAAATAACACAGGAAGTGTAAAGAGGGCATAGGACAGCTTCTTAGAATTACTAACAAGATCAACAGTTTTAGTTTTCACTTATCAAACAGATACAAAATATTTTCAATTATATATTTAATAGACCGAAAGGGAGCAAATAAGAGAAGTTAATTGTTGGGGTTTACATACCCTTAAAAATGTATTGTGTGGCTGGTGGCCAGGGGCTTCCCTGCTTATCATGTGTGTTTCAGGGGGGGAGGTATATTTTGGGGACTGGTGTTTGCTCATCGTGGACGTTCTGGGGCGGCTTTGCATACTGCTCAGCTCCTGGAGACCAGTGTTGTCAGTGACCTGGCCAGAGCATCCTAGGTTGCTAAAAGCTCTTAGCAACCTGGGACACTTTTGCCAGAAAGAGGGCGGCAGGCACATCTGACCCCTGCCCACGTGACCCAATGAGATGCCACCTAAGGCTGCCTTATTATAGGGACGGCCCTGCTGGTGACTAAAGCTGTGTCACTTAGTTGCCCCATTAACACAAACTGTCTTGTCCAGTAAGGCAAATAAAGATGTACAAACTGTACTCTATAATCTGAATTTTGATTGGATGCTATGACATGACATAGTCTTTGTTCTTCTCTACATTGTTTCATGAAAAAAACATTTTTGATCCTCAAAACACTCAAACACAACACAAAAACATGTAAGAAAAAAAAAAACTCTGAGCACAATAAACAAATGAATTAGTTGTAATGGGCTTGCATTTTATATATACAGGGTTATTCACAAAAGGGTGAAGAGTTTGGAGAAGGCAGGAGAAGTGAACAATCTAGGACAACATAGCTGAAATGGAAAGTGAGCTGAATTGGAGAATTTTTCCAAATCAGATATTTTGGTCTAGATTGTTTACTTCTCCTGCCTTCTCCAAACTCTTCACCCTTTAGTGAATAACCCCCATAGTTTTATCCAATCACCCCTTAGACCTCTCCACCATTAAAACCAGGATTCACCTTTCCATAGAATTCAGGTTTTCCAACTCAATGTAAAGCAAAGCTGTGCTTAGTCTATGCAAAGTATTTACATATTCTGAACAAGCAGCGAATGGGTTTTAAAACAAGTCCTAATTTATCTCTGTAGCTACAGGCATTGTTGCGATATCCATCTTCACAGTTCAGTGGCACTGAAATCACAAATTTTCCTTTTACCTTTTATGGAAGCAGAAGCATGGCGGCCTGCAAGCCATCTAATGCAGCCTTTCTCAAGTAGGGCTCCTCTGGAGGTTGCAAGGGCTTCCTTGAACAGTGAGCAGTGGTGGATAGATCTTCCACCTACATTGACCACCATTACAAGGGGGAATTTTGCATTGACCTCCAGTGTAAGGGGTGTACATCTATACTAACAATTAGGGATGACCTCAGGTTCAGGCCAAACTAAGTCAGAACCTGAGCTCCTCTGAACCTGAAAGAACCTGAAAGAAGGAAGCTCCTTTTATGTCACCCAAGCATCTGTATAAGGAGAAACATTTACACTAACAACTTGGGATGAGCTCAGGTTCAGGCCAAACCAGGTCCGAACCTGAGCTCCTCCGAACCTAGAAGAAGCCCCTCTGGAACACAGAAAGAAGTTCCTTCCATGTAACCCAATCATCTGGTAGCATGGAATTCCCTGCCGCAGCTTGATGCAAGATCTGGGCGTTATTGCAAGGGTTAAAAGGGTTGAGAAAGGCTGGTCCAATGTAAACACACAGCAGGTGTTTCTAAGCTGTTAGATACTGACTGAAACCTAAATTCAGAGTTTTTGTTGTGATCTTTGAGGATCGTTTGTGAATGAGTTACTTCACAGTACAAGCAGGCAGGGAGGTCAGGCACGGTTTGTTTTAAAACTCGTTTTACTACTTATTAAGAATATATACGTACTTTAACATCCATAGTCTGGGCATAGGTGCACATTAAAATATATCAGAACAATTTGTCCAATTGATGGTCAGAAACACCATCTATACTACTTAAAATGTTACTCATGATTGCAGGACTATGTTGAATGTTGTTGTCCTTATGGAGATGGTACTTCTTGGCCATTTCTTATGCTTTGATGCCTTCAGTAGTCTATGACAATGTTATCAGTGTTCTCAGTTTTGTCAATTTGGGTTAGGAGACCTAAAAACATCTCCAGTGATTGCATGATGTTGATATTGCAGGAAGTTGGATCATCAGAATCTCTGTAAGTTCATTGGAGGATCAACAGAAGGAAACATCTTCATCATCACAGAATATTGCCCCAAAGGCAGCCTGGCTGATGTCCTGCTGAACGATGATGTTCCTCTAAATTGGGGCTTTCGGTACGTTTTCACGGCCTGCACACAGTATAGAATTATAAATCTTTTTGTTTTTAATATATATAAAAACGTAGTATTGCAGTGTGCAATTATAACTTTCTTCTTGGACTAGCAAAATATATAAGACAAGCTTTCGAGAGTGAACCTCTCTTCTTCAGGTATACTGAGTATTGCTGAGTATTTATATATATATATATATACTAGATAGAGCTGAGGACCATTGGAAATTTGGAAATAAGTATTTATTTTCGATGCTCCTCAGCTCCATCTAGTACCATATTGTAATATGAAAACACACTACATTCAAACTGGGAAATGCTCCATCTAATGGCCATAATGTAATATTACAACACTACATTCGAACTGGGAAAAAAGTATTTTAAAAACATTCGCTTTTGGCATTATTTGCCCAAAGCGCATATTCACAGATATTCTCCAGACAAAGGGCCCTCCAAAATGTTTATAAATAGACCCCCTTACCCACAGGTATGCCCATTTTTGTATTGTAGGACAAAACATTATACAATTTTCAATGGACAGATGTATTTAAAACTCCCGGTGTAATTGTGTCAGCTTCTGAATTCTTTCTGTCTTGTCACAGGCTTTCTTTTGCAACGGACATTGCGCGAGGAATGGCGTATCTTCACCATCACAAAATCTACCACGGAAGGCTGACGTCCCGCAACTGTGTCATCGATGATCGCTGGGTCTGTAAGATCTCAGGTAGGGTTCCATCATGCGGGACATTTACTATAAAATAATTCCATGTCATGGCACACATGTTAGGGGAACATGCATGCTTGTATACATTGTATGTGCGTACCACTTAAAATGAATATATATTTTACCAGGTGCTCATTAAACCAAAATAGTGTACTGTGTACTTTTCTACCCTTGTAGACTACGGGCTGATGGTCTATAGAAGAGACGGTCTCAAAGAATTGATGGAGAAAAAGCCTGTGCACATCTACTGCCCCCCGGAGGTCATCCAGAGTAACAGCACCTATGTAGTACCCACACCAGCTGGAGATGTTTATAGGTAACAGGAAAACCGCCATTAGCCTAATACGGAAGCCGCCATTACTGACCTCTTTTATAATAAATTATACCTGATACCTGAGGTTTTAACAGGCAAAAAGGTATACTTAAATTCACTGCTGATAGCCAATGGGCTATCTATAGTAAAAACTGGTAGCCAAATATAATGGGATCTAGTGTAATTATTAATTAAGAGGTATTTTTTTACCCAAAATAATCATGTGATTTGGTAAAGTTGACTTTTAAAATGTAAATTTTAGTGAAGATCAAAGGATCATAAGGACCAATTATTTCCAAACAATTAAATATTCACAGTACCATGCTCACATTATATGCGAGATAGATTGGAGAAGTCACATGCACACTGTAAACGTTGACATCAATATTTGATTTGTTAACTGTGGGGAAAACTTTTATTAACCCTTGCAGTGGGGCTACCCCATGCACTGCAAGGGTTAAGGGCTCATTTTCGTCTAGGTGTTAAAATAAAAAAAGTTATACTAACCCGATTCTCAGAGCTGAGCAGCTGTCACGGCATTACTTATACACAGTGTATAGAACGTGATGACCCGAGGATCCTTAGAACACTGCATTAGAGAAGGAGAGAGGCTCCAGAGACCGGTCTAAGAGCAAGCCAGCTCTAAGGATCGGGTGAGATGCCTAGAAAAAAATGAACACTTAAAGGAGAACTATGACATGAGTGATTTCCACTCACGTCATAGTTCTAAGCCAACCTGTGACAATGAGACTGTCACAGGTCGGCTCAGTAGATCGGGAGGTGAGAGAACACATACCGGGTTCCCTCACCTCTCGATCCTGTCACGGCTCTCTGTCGTGACAGGGGGAGGGGCTGGATTCCCCTCTCCCCGCTCCGATCTGCCAGTGCTGACTGGCGGAACGGACGGGGGAGGGGGCGGGTACAGCTGGCTCTGCCTCTAGATAGGCAGAGCCAGCTGTCACTCACGCAACTGGGCGGATCCCGTCATCTAAGTCGGGATCCGCTCCAGGTGCGGCGTCTCAGTATACCGCAAGCTGTAGCTCGCGGTATACTGAGCTTAGGGTAACGGGAGGATGCTAGTTTGTGTCCTCCCGTTACCCCAAGGAGAACTATGGGGAAAAACACTGACCCCATAGTTCTCCTTTAAACCCTTGTAGTGTGGGTGTAGCCCCACTGCAAGGTTTAAAAAACATTTTTGCTCAGAGTTTTTCTTTAAAGAAACACCAACTGTATTATTTTTCTTTCAGCTATGCCATCGTACTAGTTGAAATTGCAAGCAGGAGTGATCCCTTCCCAGTAAGTTCTACTCTATGGTTTTCTTTTTCCTATTCATGCCTTTCTACTCCAAAGACATGCTGGTAGGTTAATTGGCTCCTCTCTAAGTTGGCCCTCTATGTATGCACGCGAGATAGGGACCTTAGATTGTAAGCTCCTTGAGGGCAGGGACTGATGTGAATGTGCAACTATGTAAAGTGCTGCGTAAATTGTCGGCGCTATATAAATACCTGTAATAAATAAATATGTAGAGTTTGTATCGGTATATGTAAACCAGTTTATTTCATATGCAGGTCCTGCTTCCTGCTTGGTTGTCCTGCTCAGTCATTAAAGAAGAACTCTAGAAAAGTTATCTTTATTTAAAATCTTCCTATTAATAGCTAAGTGTAATGAGGTGTATGCCACCTCTTGCAGATCTCTCTTTTTTACAATGTACAGTTACACTGAACGCCGATATAGCTCCCTCTTCTTCTTTGAATGTCCATTCAGTCCTAAGATTTACAAAGCTCTACCACAGAGCACAGCCCTGTCTGGGAGGGCAGGATACCTGATTTTTTGTCTGCTGCCATTTGATAACAAACATGGGTTTTGTCCTTCCCCCAGTCTGAGCAATATTTTGTATAGGGCCCTGTGATTTCTAATTACGCCCGCTCTAGTTGAATTTTTTGACTATTTTTAGCACAGTTGCAGTGTTTGCATATATCCACAATTGCACAGTTGCTGTGTATCCATAATTGGTTTTACTTGTTGCCTGAAATTTCCCAATCAAATAAAGAAGCCCATAACCTGCCTAACAATAGTTGTAATTAGTATCTGGACTCATTACAATGTGACACTTTGCTGAAATATTACAGGGGGATGCCTACATGAAAGATGTGAGCTGGAGACCACCAATTCCTGAGCTGAGCGCAGGCAAGTCTGACGAGGACTGCCCAAACCCGGCTGATTACTCCGAGGTCAGTGTTTCCTTTGTCCTGCCAGGACAACAAATTACTAACAGGGCAATTATAATCTACTGTAGGTCTGCATGAGTTATGGAGGTGGAGAACCACATTATTAAACGCATAATACATTAATTATAAAGACAGCACATAATTCACATCTCATCATTGTGATATTTTATGCACATCTGTTAATAATCTGTTTGAACATATTAATTTGTTGACATTCCCTTGAAAACAGTTTATAGAAAGGAAATAAATTAAATATTTTCATGCAAGATAAACTATAATAGAAAATAATAATTATACAGTGCTTTGTACACAATGTATTAGGGCTCATTCAGTCTTGCATGCTATAATGCATTTGTGGTAGTACAGCACATTATCATGCGTTACGACTCTCTCCGTGAAGGTAACCCTGCAGGGCCTGCAGCGCGCCTTAGCTAAAAAATAGATCTGCCC